TTTTTCGTAGTGTCTTGGAATGCATTTCTAGCTCACTTAGCAATAAATCTAATGGTTCAAAAAAACCATGCAAATGCATGAACTTCCGGGCCCTACTTATGACATATAATTCATTTAAATACTAGTATTTATAATACTGGTATTTCAAATGCTATATTATACTTGTATACAATACAATAGATTGTAGGTAATATACTAATATATATCAATGGACATTGAGACCCTCCCCCACAATATTATCTCTTGTACTTTATGCTTGTTCATAATATCAAGTGCACCGATAAGCTTCTAGTTTCCACTTTTTCCAGTTTATTATATCATCTTTAGCATGTGGATCATGAAATTGACCTATAAACTAAGTTTATTTTATATGAACTTAAATTATAGGTCAATGGATCACGATGACAATGTAGAAATTATATTAGGTTCTTACTCTTACACAGAACATTTCGTAGATGATATTATCTTCTATACATCGTGTTATGGATAATAGCAATCACAATTTGAGATAATAGGTATTCGGTCAATAATTCGTATGGACTAGACACTGTAACTAGGTACTAACTAGATAGCACTGCCGTACACGATTTTTGTTTTTATTCAATTTTCATTCTACTACAGCATTATTGAGTATTTGAAGTTAAAACATTTTAAAATTCAAAATTTTAGTTGATCAATATACTTACCTGTATTTTTTTACCGACCATCTCCCATCTCCCAATATGCGATCTACCATCGTTTTATGTACCTACTACCTTACTATAAATATTAGTGTACTAATAGTATTCAGTCTATACTATATAATTATTTGTTTTCTGCTAAAGATAAAATGTTCACATAATCACATTGGTATTTCATAACATTTAATTTTTGTGCTTTCTAGTGGCAAAAATATATGTTGTACGAATGAAAACTTATTAGAGAGGTATTAGGTAGTGAGAATTAAAATATGTATAATGTATATGGTATGTAATATTTTTAATTCACTCTTAATAGATATGAAATTATGTTTTGTATTTTATAGCTTGTTTACCTATATAAATGACATACAAGTGTAACTACCTATGTAGGTAATATAATAAATTGAACTATGAATTTGMTTATAACTTTCATTTGTAATTATTATTTAACTTTAAATTGGGGGTGTTATTGTACATTATTCTGCAACGATAAACATGACACAAGTTTTAGGTAACTTCTAACATTATTATGCTAGAAACATGTTAGTGCAATAAGTACTATGAATAGACCTAACAAGTAGTTACAATGATTTAATGATATTTACATAGGTTCAAGGGGGTTGGAGGGCTTAGCCTTTTCTAAAATTGCTATAGATCCCCCCTCCCCCCAAAAAAAAAATCTTATGATTTTATAACATAATACAGTGGAAAGATATATCAATTTTCGCGCATCACAAATGATTCAATTGGTGTATCGATAACCAAAGATCATGTCAACCACGTGTAAATTAGTGGAAAATGTCTAATAAGAATTGGTTCTAACTGAACTAAGATATCAGTCCCCAAAAATTTCAAACACTATTTGCGACTATGGATGTTTATACTACAGCACTACACAATAATCTATAATATGTCTACCTGATCTATTTTACGTAGATTATTATTAATTATCAATTACCCAATATGTTTAGCACTAAAACGGCAAAATCAGCGCGATAACGCCCTACTCTATAATTCATAACTTTTAAATCTTTCTACAGGCTACAATCGTATACCTATTAGATATTGAATAATATTATGAAATAGATATCGCTGAATAGGTAACTACAACTTACCCAACATACATCATCAGCAGCATCGTTATTTATTATTATTTTGATTGTTTGGTATGTTTGGTACCTACCTATGCGGCTATACATAAATAGTTGTAATTGCAATTATCCATATAGCATAAACTACCAATATAATAAATATAATAAATTATAGCTAGGTATTAATTTTACTTGGTATAGGTATAGTCAATTTAAAACTGTAGAAGTAAAAGTAAATTATTAAAAGTTCCGATATGTCTAGTAAAATATTATTTAGCTGATACACGTTTTTATCGAAATGAATGAAATAATATTGCAAACTAGTTAAAGTATTTTCAGCCATAGTCAATATTTAAAATAAGAACTGATTTAGTTCATTAAACTAAGTACCTAGCTAAGTGCTACYTGTACGGTTAAATACTAGATGATCGTAGTCCGTAGACAACCGTGGTAGCTACGTAGGTTAATCTTTTGTTCTCTTTTTTGTGGTATATTAGCTGGTTGGTAGATGAATATGCGTGGCGAATMGCTTTCGCTTTTCTTTCATCGAACATTATTATGTCTAAAAATATAATATTATAATGTGTGCAATAAATATGTTTGAACTTATATTTGTTATTTAGAATCATAGGCGTAACTTGGACTCTTCAAGTGGGAGCAAAAACAATTTTTGTGAATCTCACTATATAGGTATACTATTACACTCAGTTGTATATTATGTTTAACAATTAGAAAATTAACATAATATTATAGGTTCGAGTGTGCTATGCGCCTCACTGCCTCAAAACAGCCTGCAATCAACTAATTGTAATAATTGTATAGTTCAGTTGGTTGGGGCAATACCCCCACCAATTTATGGTCGTGGAGCAGTTGCCTCCTTTCGCCCCCACCAAGTTGTACCCATGTTTAGCATATCATACTTACCCAATAATAGGAATATATGTATATATTATATTCTGTATGTTATGTAATAAAATTGTTGTACTTATTATCGTGTTTGTTTTAGTGTTACAAGTTTTTATACATCAAAAAGTATAATGTTGCCCTATATTATGGATAAATAKAATGTACTGTAAAAGTAAATGAGTACTGAGTATAAGGTATACGACTGATTGTATAAACTTAATTAACAGCATTATTATTATTTATTAGGTAATGTTTAAGTAGGTTTTACATTTTTTTAATGAATGTATTTTGATATTTTTTAAACTTATATACATTTAAAATTTTTAAATACGTATAGGTGTTAAAAGTGTATTTTTATTCACCAGTCTACATAATATCTATTTATTTGTGACCAAAACAATGAGTGATTCAACTAATAAGCGAATTCCATGTAATAATATTAAAATTTTAGATCAAATACCTCGATATAAATATAAATACCTATGATCACATATTATAGATATTAATTTAAATCAAACGATGAAAAAAAGTGTAAAAAGTGTTCAAAATTACCTGATGATATATTTTTTGTTTTTATTATTAAATTATTCACAACATTCTGGGAATAGTGTAGAAATAATGCTACACCAGTGTATTTGTTATGATGTGTTTTGGTCAGTGAAATGCAGGACAGTGGAAGCTATTTGAAAAATAAATATCGCCATTTTTCAATGAGCTCTATTACAGCATCGGACGTCAAAATATATATAGAGCTGAGAAAAAAGTCATTGAGTCGGATTTGTGAGTGGGTCACTCTGTCCGGCCTTCGAAGGACACGCATAAAATGTATTGTAAGTTTTGCAAACGAACCCACGAAAGTATTAAGTTAAGTCGAAAAGCTTCTCCTCTTGTCCAACACTATGGAATATCGAACGAGGCGTATGCTGCATAGTATAATATAATAATACAATGTTATACCATAAAAGTATAAAACTATATGCATTCGTTGTTGTGTTGATACGTGAACTACGTGTATGATGGTGGTAAACAGAAATACGCAGCGCATTATCATAGTGTCTTACTGCGGTCAAAGAAGGGAAATAATAACATTTTCGTCTAAACTGTGTGGGAAAAACAAATCTTATTGCTGCACAGTAGGGGAATGATTCTAAATTTAAATACACAATTTTGGCAAGCAGTATCGGACGGTGGGAACACCATTTGTTTAGGCACCCAGACAGATGGACCATTTTATTTCTGGATCGACGACGACCGTCCATTTCGCTATAGCCACACACGCACTCTCTATAACCACTATAAATATTATCATATTATTATAACAGCTCCCGTCACGAAAATCTCGGCGTACCGCAAGAAATCATAATATTAACACGTCACGTTYGAGCCCACACCGATTTCAATTATACATCAATATTATTTTATAAATATTATTATGTAGAAACGATTCGCCACGTAGGTGACTTAGGGCTTTCGGTTTTTAGTTAACGGGAATCGCACACGTTGATCTCGCGAACATGTTGATGGATGTTGATTTTGACGATGACACGCCGAACCGATGCACCACACTCGTCTACTATGCATGGAAGATATTCACGTGCTTATTCCTGCACGTGCTACTTGTCACCATGGTCGTACTGTATTGTTTGCTCGGAGCCTTTGCTTTCGAACGTCTGGAATCAGCGAACGAAATTGAAGTAAGTCAAATAAAAATAATGATAATAATATCGTAGGTACMACCTAAACGTTTTTAAGACTTAAGTGATTCGTGTAAATTATAATTATTATGAGCTTAAAACTATAATGACGTATCAACAATTAGCAGTTATATATGTTGTTAATTAGTTTAGATACTATTACAATATTATAATGTGTCAGGGTTCTTTTAAAGAGTATAATGATAATGAATATTATATATAGGTATATATTATATACAAATATATAATATTGAATATATTATGTATATACATATATAATTTGTACTTGAATTTTAACAAGAACTTTGTTTTCTCGTATATTTCGCTGATACAATAATAATATAAGGTACTTATAAGGTACCTATATACCTTATAACCTAACCTATATATGAAAAGACAAAATGTTATTGAAGTAGTTATACAAAATACAAGTATTGTTCAGCTTAAAAATAAATTACTGTATAGAATGTGTGTGTAAACATTATAGCTAACAATATAAGGACGATGATACAAATTAAGTATATTTATTTTTAGGTAGGTATGTTCATCGTATAAGTATATTATTTTAATAATATATGGGTAATTAATTTATA